ATCTCATTCATTAAATAGCGGGGACATTTCACAGTGGGTTAATGTGGTCCCTATGATATGCAGGGTCTTGAATGAGACAACTTTACCAAGCACAAAATTTATGGTGGCTACCAAGTAGTACTCATTTTCTCATGATGTGATATATATATTAATATATAGTATATACTATATATATATATAATAATATACTTTATAATATATATATATATATATATATATCATATATATATATATAGAGGGAAAGTGAATCTAGCTGACACCCTAGGTACCCACCTAAGGACGCGGCCTAAAATCACATCATTCCCTAATATTTTTCTACGATCCGCTCCGTTGAACTTGATCTACACGTTCTTAAACCTAAACACACCATTTTTGGGGTGAACCCGTCATGTTTTGACCCTTCATCCACTCGCCGTAATTTTAACGGTTTCGAATGAATAGAACTTTTTGGACGACTCAACGAATGGTCAAAACACGACGGGTTCACCCCAAAATTAGTGTGTTTGAGTTTAAGAACGTGTAGATCAAGTTCAACGGAGCGGATCGTAAAGTTCGAAGTTTTGGCATAGTGGGCGGGACTTTTACAGAGCAATCTAGATTCAATCCCACCATCAAGCATTGTTGTGTGAATGAATTTTAGTCCGAGAAAAAGGATGTTTCAACCTGTGGAGATATTCTAGAGCAGAAAAACTGTAAAACCTCATCACAACTTTGAAGTTTTGGTACAGTAGAAGGCACTTTTAAAAAACCTCTTCATCCAAAGCATCTATAATCAAAGGCCTACACCTCACCAAAAGCATCAAAACTCAAACCCCAGTGTCCATAACCTCACGTGCCCAACTTATACACTAAAAACCCCCACTCTCCATCTCCTCACATGCCCAACTTATATGCTTAAAACCCCAACTCTCAATCTCACTCTCCCCTATCCTTTACAGATGAAGTGCAACCTCATCCTTCTCGTTGTTCTTCCTTCTTTCTTCATCCTCTCAACTAACTCCCTCACCCAATCCTGCAAAGACTCCTGCGGCCCATTTCCAATCCACTTCCCGTTCGGCACGGGCCCTGGCTGCGCCGCCATGTCACCTGCGACGACCAAACCCACACCCTCACCTTCACAACACACACAGGCAAATATCCAATCCAATCCATAGACTACACAAACCAGATCCTTTACATTCAAGACCCCTCAATGTCCACTTGCACGACCACAAACCCCTCCAGTGGCTTTTCCCTTAATTATGATGCTCCCTTCACTTTTGTTGATGGCGATATCTTCGTTCTTCTTGATTGCTCGACAAATTCAACCAATATGTGTGATAACAGCAACGCACCTCTATGCAGTCTTTTATATACTTGTCCTGCTATTACTCAGCTGAGTATGCCTTTATCTAGTTGTTGTATTTATAGTCCTGCTAGCCTTGGACCAGCATTTGAGATGGACTTGAAGAAGTTAGAGTGTAATTCATATTCGGGGATTTATAGCTTTGGGGGTGCTGAAACTAATCCTTCAGGTTGGAAGTTTGGTATTGCTGTGAAGTACAGGTTTAGTGTTGATGATGGATATCCTAGTGCTTGTGCTGATTGTGAGAGGAGCAATGGGGTTTGTGGGTACTCTGAAGAATCCAATTCGTTTGCTTGTAATTGCGTTAATGGGATGAACACGACGACGAATTGTTACTATGCTACGTGGAATGATGGGACTAGCATTCAGAAATTTTCGCGTGGTAAGAAATTTCTAATAGACTTTCTTTCTTCAACATCGGTTGTAGTATCAATGTTTTGAACTTACTATCCACCTAGTTTTATTTTGCATATAGAACCCTTGAATGAAATTTTGACATTTATCAGATACTAATAGGGTAAAAGAGTAAGAAAATTTACTCATGGGGGTCTATCAGCAAAAACAAAACTAGATGGGTAGTAAGTTCAAAACAGCGATGCTAGAGGGGGTTTATCCGCAATTAATTGTTAAATATACCGTAAGCTTTTACTGTGTTGTTTGGTGTTTCTTTGCAGGGTGTTGGTTGATTTCTTTGTGGTGGGGGTTTGTGAGTTGGATGTTGTTGTAGCATATATGCATGTTGAAGAATTGAAGTTCAAGCCTACTGTTCACCTGTAGCTGAAGATTAGAAATTTTGTTTTACTGAGGGTTATAATTCGTGTACTGCACCTAATGATTTGTGTATATCTAGAATTTGGAGTATCAGAAAGATGTAATTAACAGTGGTCATGGAATAAAGTTAACACGTGTTCTCTATGATAAGGTGTAGAATATGTTACTTGCTTACTGATGATTACTTGTATAAATTGGTATCTGATGTGGTAGGCTGGGGAACATGTTCTTGTTATCTTAGAGAAGAAGCTACTGTAAAGAAACAAAATATTCTAAAGTACATTATTGTGATTGTCCTGTAATGAGACTGCAGTTGTATAGCAGGTTACATTATTGTGGTATGCATTGAGTTCAGTAATTGTACCTCCATGTGCTGGTTTAATTTTTATCAATAGTAATTTTTTAACTAACTGGCATGTACTTCTCTATTAAGAATAAGAAATTCAAGTGCAAACATATTTAGAGAACTTTCCTCTCCTACAGGAAAGAATGCTACAATGATTCACTTCTACTAGGGATATAGAAGGCAATTTGGTGTCTTTCTTCCTTTCGAATACCCAACTCTAATGTAAAGAAATACATTATCTAATAATACACAATGCCTCTCTTCTATCTTGGAATTTCAAGAGAAAATGTCAAGCATCATTAATCGACACCCATATTTGTTAACCATCTGAATAAGTATTAGCTTAGTCGAAGCATCGCCAATCTTATAATTGTAGATTACTCAGCTAGAGTTACCATTGAGAAATCAGAGATCTTGACGAAATCATTCAAGACTTGATGCTGAGGCCATTAAGAAAAGTTTTTGGCCCCCTAAGGATTGATCACTCGATTAAAGTGTCGTTAGTGTGTGTTACTTTAGGGTTGCTTTGATTCTTTTTGTGATTTATGATATTTTATGCTACTATGGGTCATAGCTGATAGCTGGCTATTTATAGTTCGTGTCTCAGTATCACAATTAAGTGCACCTTTTACATATAACAAACTGTTAATTGTTGCATCCTTTTTCCACTTGTTGTGGCCCTTGCTCCTGTAAATAACTATTGCAGCAAAAGTGCAAAAGATGCAATGTTGTATACCAGAACTAGGATATTGAATCATCTGAACTGGGTAATAGACAACAGAAACGGAAACAACATGGAAAATAATTCAAAATTCAAATCCTCGCACTAGAATGCAAAGCTCCAGTTTTGCATCGACTTAAGTGAATTAATTACTGTTATTAATTAACAGCGTCTGAAACTTTTCAACATTTCTCTTTTTGCCCCCAAACGACCTAAGCATAAAAAATTACATACGTAAAGAAAACAAAAGAAGGAGAACATATTGTATCATCCAAACAAAATTTAATATTCACATTGGCTGCTACACATTTTGAAGCGCTAACTAATAAATGTATTCATGATAATTATATCAGTATAGTACCTTCATTCCGTTGACTATACTTCGAATGCATCCGGAGAAACATGATTGTAGGCTTCGTAGCTCATATGAAACCATTGGACTAATTCACCTTGGCCTGCAAAACATGCTCTTATCAGATAATTAAGTCTCAGGCAGACTCAGCCATCTTCAATAAATAACTTAACAGGCAACGAGATTTAAGATTTACAATTAAGTTTACATAACCATAATAACATAGCAGAACATTTTGATATAGACTTAGGTTACAACACTGGAGAAATGTCATTCGATAAATCAGTAATTCTTCTACATGGAGGTCTTATATAATTCTAAATTTATATAGTTGGTCTTTGTGTTAATTTTGTTCAGAAAAGCCCGCAAGCTAATTAAAGTCATTCTCACCTTCATGTTTCTCCATTTGTCTTTTAAGTCTATCGGCCATCTCTCTCCAAATATTCCAGGATACGAGTTCTTTATCTGTTTCCACTTTGCCTTCACCATACTCGCTGACGGCCTTTCTCATGACATCTTCTTCATCTGTCGTCCAAAACTTTCTCTTCTTATTTGATCCCATAATATTCTTCATCGCGTCAACACTTGCCTTTCTCTTGACACGCGTATGAAGGTCGTTTGACGGGTTAGGAGATGAGGATATTGATTCTTCATTCACATTATTTCCATCTCTCACTTCTTCTATTGCATTCTTCTTCTTCTTCCCTAGGATGTTCTTCGAACACCCACCTTCTTCGTTGGTTGATACCCCATTTCCTTCTTCTCCAATAATAACCCGGAGACAAGAGAAAACGCTTGCAAGTTAGCAGCAGAGCTCCAACAAACTGAGATACATTTTCGCTAGCAAAAAGAATTCAGAGGATACTTGTATGGTAAGCTAAATTTTAGGTTCTTTCTATACTTGTTGCAATAGGCATTTCACAGCGCGCCAACTAATAATAATCAAAACTGCAGCATCAAACCAATCCAAAGAAATGAAAATAGGCAATTAAAAATTAATGACAAATAAAGTTTCTTGGTCTTTCACTAGCTTCTTTTTTTTCAAATCAGCCACTATCAATAATTTGAAGGATAGCAATTATGGGCTATTTACCTACACCAAATACTCTCAGCAAACCACATTTATAAATTGAAACTGACCATCAAACTAAACCAGGTTGCAATATAATAAAACTTAGCTGTAAACTAAAACCGATAAAGCTCAAGTCTTTTTCTTATACCAAACTGATAAAGCTCCAGTCTTTTCCCCAAATATTCCACAAAAAAAAAATCAAGAACGGGATGAAAAAGAAATCTAGCCTTGATGCTTCTCGAGCAAAAAGATTTTAATTCACAAGAACCACGGTGGCAAAATCGCAACATTTCATTTACAATTCCAACAAATAAAAAAATTAAAAAAAAAATCTCACCTTTGCGATACACAGCGAATCGCATTGTCAAAAAATAACTCCAAATAAATTAATAAAAAAATGGAGCAAGCAAAGAACTTCAATCTTTTTAACGCCA